GTGCATGCTGGGAAAGCTTTTATGGTGATCACCTAGAACCGGCTTCTCTTTTTGTATTTGGCAACAGATACTGACACTTCTCTGTGTTGCACAACCCCAGCCACTCCTGGCCTTCTACTCCAGCTCTTCCAACAGGACTTACCTGAGATGTGTTGCAAGGAAGGATTCCTGCAGCCCAAAGATACTGACTGCACCTGGGAGGTGGAGGCAGGAAGCAGATTAGGGTGAAGAGACAAGGGTCTGGACAATGCTGGGCTCAGAATATAGTCATCACAAAGCAGCCAATCAGCAACAGGCAGAGCAAGGGAAGCAATTCGGGTCATTCGTGGACATAAATGATGCTGATCTTAACTCGCAGACGATGCATTGTATGTGCTGGAGGCAGGGAGTGCTCCCAAAGGACTGGCAGAGACAGCGTTCATTCTCGGGCTAAGCAAGGGGAAAGAGATGAATGAACAAAAGACAGGATAATTTAAGTCGGCTGTCTGCCAAGCAGAGTTTGTAATCTTAACTTGTCCCCATTCAAACCCCAGGAAATGAATTCTGTAGTTCTCCTACACCTAGGGACACGGGGCCTGACTGCTTTTAACTACTTTTAAGCCACAGGCTAGAAGTCGTTTTCTTGTTTTGTTTTGTTTAATTTGGCTAGCAGGGTGTTTATAAACTTACACCACTTTGTTTACTTTTAGTTTTGTCAATGGGATTTCATGTATGCCAGATTAGCTCTGACCTTATTATGTCGCCAGGGATGGCCTTAAATTCCAGATTCTCCTGCTTGTACCTCCCAGTGTTCGAATTGTAGGTATGAGCCAGGATACCTAGCCAGATTAACTTTTTTAAGTGAGTGAAAATTCACATATAAATCTAGAATTTTAGTTCTCTATACAAAACAAACTAAACCCCCCCCAAAGAACTGACTTCCTGAGTCAACATTCCTCCGTGATATGACAGTCAAGTGAAGTGGGAACCAGTTGTCCCTTCAATGAATATGCCCTCCTCTGTGTCCTAACCATCCACACAATCTGTGAGTGTATGGGCATGTCCCGCAGACCACTCTGCCTGCAGAAGTCTGAGTTGGCACCCCCTCTCACTCTGAGCCTCCTAAAGTCTGCAGGTGAGGTGCAGTGATGGCAAAGTCGGACTTCAGGACACTGTAGAGCACCCAAGAGTAGCCCGCCAATAACAGAAAATCGGTTGTGGGTGCTCACACTGTAATCCCAGCACTCTAAAGGCGGAGACAGGTAGATTTATAGAAACTTGAGGTTAACCTGGACTACACTGAGACCCTTTCTGAAAGCAAAGGGCTGTCAAGATGGCAGTGTGTGAAGGCATTTGCTGCCAAACCTGATGACCTCAGTTCAATCCCCAGGTGAGAATTGATACCCCACTCACAAACACAAGTAAATAAATGCAGTAAAAATCTTAAAACAGAAAAGATAGCAAAAAGAGGACTGCCAGGGATCACCAGGGGAAAAAATCCTACCTAAAAGGGCTAAGCAGATATCAGAAAACCAAGTCACACAAAAGCACCAGAGAAAGAAGTAGCTTCCATTACTAACCAACACTAATCTCAAATTTCTTGTGTATTTTGTACATTTAAAGTTTAGAACGACTATATTTATCAATGCAATAAAATAAGGAAATCTTCCCTTAGTACAATGTAATTATTATGTGAGAATCTTTTTTGGAGTTTTTATTAAGTTTGTGTTATGTTGTAGCCATGAAAACAGGATTGCATGTTTCTCTTCAAGCTATGACTTGAAGAGAAAGCTAAGCTATAGTTCTCAGTGTCAAGAAAATGATCTGAAACGCTGGGAGATGGCTTAGTCACTCAATCACAAGCAGGAGGACCTGCATTCCCATCCTTACCATCCTGGAAAAGCCAGGCACAGTAATGAGCATCTGTAACCCCAGTGCGGGGGAGGCAGAGGCAAGCAGATCCCGGAAGTTCATTGGTCAGCTAGCCTAATTAAATCAGTGAGTTATAGGCTCAGTGAGAGACCATGTGCAAGTTATCAGAATACGTCTCTGCTTCTCTGTGATTCAGAGACAAGAAGAGTTGCCACCTTATGGGCCATCGTGAACATCGGATGAGTAAATATACAATGAATGTTTAATGAAGATTAGTATACAGTAAGGGCACTATATGTCCACAACTATTATTCAGAAAAAAAAATTCCCACTCAAATTCACCATGGATTCCTATTATTTTTCTTTGTTGATTTCTGTTTTGTTTGTTTTTTGTAGTGCAGGGGATCAAATATGGAGCTTCCTTTGTTCTGGGCAAATATCCTACCACTGAGCTACAACACAAACCCACTTAGGTATGCAGTATAAGACTCGGGTAGTCAATATAAGATTGTTTCTAAGCATGTAAATACAGATATAAAGCAAAATTTGATGAAGCTTTTGAAATGAAAACAGGTCTCCATGTGCAGATAAATGAGGTATAATATTTTTCAGAAGGCACACATATAGTTTAGGCTGCTTTCAAATCCCCTATGTAGTGGAGTTATGCCTTGATTTCTTTTTTTTTCTTTAAGTGTGTGTGTGTGTGTGTGTGTGTGTGTGTGTGTGTGTGTGTGTGTGAAGTGAATTTACTGAGTTCAAGGCCAGCCTGAGCTACGTGGTGCCTTTGAGGTCAACTTTGGCTGCAGAATGAAATCCTGGTTATAATTTCTATTTTGTTTTGTTTTTAAGTTAGAAGGGGGGGTGGTAGGGGAGAGGGGAAGGGAAACTTGAAATCTGCTGTGAATCCTAGTTTCCAGTCCAGAATTTATGTCTTTCTGCCTCCTATGGGTCCTAGTGAGCATATTTACCCAAGGTCTGGGAGACACCAGGGAAGGAAATCAGGAGGCTCGTGGGAATTGTTCCCACTCCAAAGGGAGCTTGCTGGGGGGCACAAAACAGTATGGGATGTGGGATGTGCCACTTCTCAGACTATAGGAACTTTTGCCTTGGTGAACTCCTTCCTTCATCAAATAAGTAAATAAATGACAGTTTTACTGCAACATTGGTGTGAAGATTAATATAGCAAGATTATACCTAAATTGGGCTTCCTTTCCCTTCTCACTTTCAAAGAAAGAAACGCTGAGTGATAGACTCTTGTGGTGCCTGGTGAGCTAGCCACCTGAGAAGGGGAATAGGAAGGGCTTCAAACATTTTCTCAAGTTAGGGGTGGTGACACATGCCTAGAACCCCAGCACTTGGAAGACCGACAAAGTGGATTTACTGAGTTCAAGGCCAGCCTGAGCTACGTGGTGCCTTTGAGGTCAACTTTGGCTGCAGAATGAAATCCTGGTTTTGATTTCTGTTTTGTTTTGTTTTTAAGTTAGAAGGGGGGGGGGGATAGGGGAGAGGGGAAGGGAAACTTGAAATCTGCTGTGAATCCTAGTTTCCAGTCCAGAATTTATGTCTTTCTGTCTCTTTTCTCTCTGTCTCTCTCTCTCTCTTCCCCTCCCTCCTGATTTCCCTGGTCTGAAGAAATGCCCAGACTAGGTAGAATGACTGTCAGCAGAGCTCCACCTATAGGCAGCAGGCGTCCACGCCAGATTGGGATAGCCACGGAGGTCCTCCTTATTTTGACTCCTCTTCCCAATTCCCTCAACAAAATAGAGGACAAAATAATAAACAAACACAGGCACATGTATGTGCACACCCACTTGCACACACAATCAAATGCTGCTGTTACAACTTCTGCCAGATGTGACTGGCACAAAGCTAGAAGGCTCTGACTCAGCAAAAGACAAAGTCCATGGTTAAAAGGACATCCGAGGCAGTTTGCAAATACAGTACCCTAACTGGGACATGCAGCACTTGCCTGTAACCCCAGAACTCTAGGAAGGAAGGCTGCGAGATGTAGGTCTTCCTTCACTAGGGTACATAGTCACATGTTTTCTCAATAATTATTATCCTTTTATTATAAAGAGAAAACCCTCCGTGCTCTAGAAAGGCCAGAAAGACACTTTTACACAATCTATAGTAATTGAACATGAACATGAGAAAATGTTAAGTCTTGGGATCTTAAAAAAAACGCACAGGGTTGAGTTGCATTTGACCCCCAAATTCTGAGCACGGATCTGCTATTTATTTTATCCAAATTAACTTGAGGTTCCTTGTTGCTGTAAAGTTTGAGGTGTATCCAGAAAATGAAGATGCTGTTTGGGGTGATTGTGCTATGTTTAATCCTCACATCCTGTTGCCTTAAATAATAATAATAATAATAATAATAACAACAACAACAACAATAATAATGTCTCACAGCGTAGCCCTGGTTGACCTTGAACTCACAGAGAACCTTCCACTTCTGCCTCCCAAAGTCTGGTATTAAAGGTTTGGACCTTGATTGCTTCTATTTACTAGTTGGCCAGATTTCAGCCTTGCATGTTGCTTGACCTACAGCAGCTAGGACAGGCAGCATACGAATCTACTTGCAAAGACCCCCCCAGAGGAAACATGCTAGAGGAACCCCTTCGACCCGACCCTGGTTGAAAGGTTTGCCCCATAACTCAGTACTCAGGAGCACCCTGCTTCGAATTCATGAAGAAGGATATAAAGAAAAGTATGCAAAGGGCAGATTACTGAGCTGCGCTTCACCCCTCATCGAATAGTGGTCCCCAGTCCCAGTGTTCAAGAGCTGCGTCATGTGAAACCTCTATGTTAGCCTTGGTTAACATATTGCCGGGGCTCCTGTCACCGTTAAGGCCTAAGAAATGCCAAGTGAGCACCCGACCCCGGGAAAGGTGACTTTATGTGCGCAAGTTCATCTTACTAGGAGTCTTTGGTTCCTCAGGCCCGCTGGGTGCACAGGCCGGTTCAGAATCACGCAGCTCCTGGAGCACAGGGAGAGGGCGCTCTCGGCGTCCCCGCCACCCTCAGCGGCCGTCCCCGTCGCGTCACCCTGCGCGTCCCCGTCTCCGCGCTCCCGCTTTCCCGCGACCCCTGAGCTCCTGCGCGCTCGCTGGCCGGTCCCTTACCTCTGTCGCCGGCACGGTGGGGCCATGGCAACCAGCTTTCTGCTGCGGAGTTTCTGGGCCGCTCGTCCGGCGCTGCCGCCTTCCGGCCGCTGCCGCCACCCGGCGCCCGCAGGAACCCAGCGTCGCAGCTACGCCCGCGGCCCCTCTGGC